CCCCCAAACACCCAAATCCCCGGGATTCCGCCCTAAACTGACCCAGAACCCCAAGGCATTGAGCCCCCCCCCAAACACCCAAATCCCCGGGATTCCGCCCTAAACTGACCCAGAACCCCTCCCGCACCCCAAACTCTTGCAGACCCTCCCCGCCCAGCACCCACAGGTGCCCCCCGCCCCCTCAGCAGCCGCTCTCGGCCACCGGGCGCTGCCCCCGCCGGGAGTGACCCCTCGGGGGGGCCCTGGCGGGACCGGGGACCCCCAGACGGCACCGCTGCCACCCCCGGCGGACCTCAGCCTGCACCTGCGGGCGGCATGTCGCGACATGACGCTGCGGCGCGCGGCACCGTGTCGCGACACGCCCGGCCGGTGACGCACCTCCTTGTTGGTGAAGCAGTACAGGACGCTGACCACCAGACCCTGGGCGGGGGGACACGGGGACACGTGGGGGGACTTCCAGCGCCCTCCCAAATTACCCCCAATTAACCCCATTAAAGCCCCGTTTCACCCTCCCCGGTGTCGCCGCGTTGTCGCCGCGTTGTCGCCGTGTCCCACTCACCTGCAGCGAGGTGAGCAGCAGGTGCAGGCAGAGCCGAGCCAGCCTCAGGCCGCCGCTGCCTTCGCCCTCCCCGGCCAGGGCGAAAATCACCTCGTGCACTCCCAGCAGCGGGATCAGCGTCAGCGTGGAGCGCGCCAGCCTGGGGACACGCGGGGACACGGGGGGACACCGCTGGGACACCCCCGGACACGGGGACACCCGGGGACACCGCTGGGACACCGCGGGGACACCGCTGGGAAACCGCGGGGACACGCCCGGGGACACCCCCGGACACAGGGACACGCGGGGACACGGCTGGGACACCCCCGGGGACATCCCTGGACACGGGGACACCCCCGGACACAGGGACACACGCGGGGACACCGCTGGGACATGCGGGGACACGCGGGGACACCCCCGGGGACACCCCCGGACACGGGGACACCTCCGGGGACACAGCTGGGACACGCCCGGACACGGGGACACGCGGGGACACCGCTGGGACACCGCTGGGACATCCCCAGGGACACCGCCGGACACGGGGACACGCGGGGACACCGCTGGGACACGCTCGGACACGGGAACACGCGGGGACACCGCTGGGACACGCGGGGACACGGGGGGACACCGCTGGGACATCCCCGGGGACACCCCCGGACACGGGGACATGCGGGGACACGCGGGGACACGCGGGGACACCCCCGGGGACACCCCCGGACACGGGGACACCTCCGGGGACACAGCTGGGACACGCCCGGACACGGGGACACGCGGGGACACCGCTGGGACACCGCTGGGACATCCCCAGGGACACCGCCGGACACGGGGACACGCGGGGACACCGCTGGGACACGCTCGGACACGGGAACACGCGGGGACACCGCTTCGCCCCGCGGGACCCCGGGGGGACACCGCTGGGACATCCCCGGGGACACCCCCGGACACGGGGACATGCGGGGACACGCGGGGACACGCGGGGACACCCCCGGGGACACCGCGGGGACACCGCGGGGACATCCCCGGGGACACCCCCGGACACGGGGACACCTCCGGGGACACCGCTGGGACACACCCAGACACGGGGACACGGCGGGGACACCCCCGGGGACACGGGGACACCCCGGGGGACACGGCCAGCGATGGGGAGCTGGTGTCCCCACCCTGCCCAGGTGTGGTGGCCGTGTCCCCCCCGAGGTCCCCACCTGAGCCGCGTGTCCCCGCGGGACACCTGGTGCGCGCGCACTTTGGCCACCAGGATCCGCACGATGCGCACGAACACCACGAAGTTCACCTGGCGGGGAGGGGACAGCAGAGGCGACACCTGCGGTGGCACCTCCCGCGCCACCCGGACACCTCCCGCGCCAACCCCCCCCCCCCCCGGCGCGATGTCACCCACCGAGACGGCCACCAGGATGGGACAGCGGATCAGCCACCACACCGCCACCTTCTCGTTGCGTTCCCAGCACCTGCGGGGGCGGCGGGGGCGCGCTCAGCCCCCTCCCCAAAGTGTCACCGCTGTCCCCTCCGAGGGGACAGCGCGGGGACAAGGCGGGGGACAGGTGGCCTCACCCCTCGTTCTCGTACAGGTACCTCAGGAGGACCCAGGGGACAACGAAGAGCACGGGGACACCTGGGGTGGGGGACACGCCCGGTTAGGGACAGCGGGGGGGACACGGGGGGACACACAGGTGACACAGGTGACACGGGGGCACAGGTGACAAAGGTGACACAGGTGACACTGGTGACACTGGTGACACGGGGGCACGGGAGGTGGCACGGAGGGGGACATGGGGGGGACACAAAGGTGACACAGGTGACACAGGGGCACAGGAGGTGGCACGGAGGGGGACATGGGGGGACACAGGGGGACACAGGTGACACAGGTGACACTGGTGACACAGGTGACATGAGGGCACAGGAGGTGGCACGGAGGGGGACACGGAGGGACACAAAGGCACAGCAGGTGACACAGGTGACACGGGGGCAAGGGAGATGACACAGGTGAGGACATGGGGGGGCACAGGGGGACACAGGTGACACAGGTGACACTGGTGACACAGGTGACATGGGAGGTGGCACGGAGGGGGACACGGGGGGGACACAAAGGCACAGCAGGTGACACTGGTGACACGGGGGCACAGGAGGTGGCACGGAGGGGGACATGGGGGGGACACACAGGTGACACTGGTGACACAGGTGACATGGGAGGTGGTACGGAGGGGGACACCGGGGGGACACGGGGGGACACACAGGTGACACAGGTGCCCCAGGTGCCACAGGTGACAGGGACATGTCGCACCCCAGCCGAGGAGCAGGAAGGCGGGCAGGCAGCGGCGGCCCGAGGTGGCGAGCAGGAGGCGCAGCAGGAAGAGCCCCTCGGCCATGGCCCACGCGTAATTGGCGCCCACGCAGTACTGCGCCAGGCTCTGCGCCACGCGACACGCGGGGCCCGCCTGCGGCGACACCGCTGTCCCCTCCCCGCCCCTCCCCCGCGCGGGTGACAGCCACCCCCGCGCGTGTCACCCGCTCCCGTGGGTGTCCCTGTGTGATCCCCCCAGCCTCCGCCGTCAGTGTCGCCTCCCTCCCGGAGGTGTCCCCGTGGGTGCCACCCGCTCCCGTGAGTGTCCCCTCCCTCCCGGAGGTGTCCCCGTGGGTGCCACCCTCCCCCGTGAGTGTCCCCTCCCTCCCGGAGGTGTCCCTGTGGGTGCCACCCTCCCCCGTGAGTGTCCCCTCCCTGCCGGAGGTGTCCCCGCGCGTGTCACCCTCCCCCGTGAGTGTCCCCTCCCTGCCGGAGGTGTCCCTGTGGGTGCCACCCAGTCCCGTGAGTGTCCCCGTGGGTTGTCCCCGCTCCCCCGCGGGTGTCCCCAGGGCTGTCCCGGCGGGTGTCCCCAGGGGTGTCCCCGTGGGTTGTCCCCGTGGGTTGTCCCCCGTCGAACGGGTGTCCCCGTGGGTGTCCCCAGGGCTGTCCTCGCGGGTGTCCCCAGGGCTGTCCCCGCGGGTGTCCCCGTGGGTGTCCCCAGGGCTGTCCCCGCGGGTGTCCCCGTGGGTGTCCCCAGGGCTGTCCCCGCGGGTGTCCCCAGGGTGTCCCCACGCCCACCTGCATGCCCAGCAGCTGCAGGGGGTGGCCGTGGCGGTGGCCGTGTGGCAGCAGCGCGTCACGCGTGAGGATGGCGCCGGCCCGGAGCGCGAAGGACACGAAGAGGTTGGCGTGGATCAGGTTCCGCGTGCAGCGCAGGCGCCTGCGGGGACAGGGACACTGACACGGGTGACACGGGGACACCGCCACGGGTGACACGGGTGACACGGGGACACCGCCACGAGTGACTCGGGTGACACGGGGACACCTCCACGGGTGACTCGGGGACAGCCCCTGGGTGACAGTGCCCCCAGGGGTGACACAGCCCCCCAGGGGTGACACAGTGCCCCCAGGTGTGACACAGCCCCCCAGGGGTGACACAGCCCCCCAGAGGTGACAGTGCCCCAGAGGTGACACAGCCCCATAGGTGTGACACAGCCCCAGGGGTGACAGTGCCCCAGGGGTGACACAGCCCCCCAGAGGTGACAGTGCCCCAGGGGTGACAGTGCCCCAGAGGTGACAGTGCCCCCAGGTGTGACACAGCCCCAGAAGTGACACAGCCCCACAGGGGTGACAGTGCCCCAGGGGTGACAGTGCCCCCAGGTGTGACACAGCCCCCCAGGGGTGACACAGCCCCCCAGAGGTGACAGTGCTCCAGAGGTGACACAGCCCCACAGGTGTGACACAGCCCCAGGGGTGACAGCCCCCCAGAGGTGACAGTGACCCAGGGGTGACACAGCCCCCCAGAGGTGACAGTGCCCCAGGGGTGACAGTGCCCCAGAGGTGACAGTGACCCAGAGGTGACAGTGCCCCACAGGGGTGACACAGCCCCAGAGGTGACAGTGACCCAGGGGTGACAGTGACCCAGGGGTGACACAGCCCCCCAGAGGTGACAGTGACCCAGGGGTGACAGTGACCCAGGGGTGACACAGCCCCCCAGAGGTGACAGTGACCCAGAGGTGACACAGCCCCCAGAGGTGACAGTGCCCAGGGGTGACAGTGCCCCAGGGGTGACAGTGCCCCAGGGGTGACAGTGCGCCAGGTGTGTCCGTACCTGAGCAGCAGCAGCAGCAGCAGCGCCACCACCAGCGCGACAAGGGACAGGGAATATCCCACGGTGTAGAGCAGACGGAACTGCTCCAGCAGCCACGCCTGGCGCTGCGGGGACACGGGGACACGGGACACTGGGACATGGGGACACGGGGACATGGGGACACGGGGACATGGGGACACGGGGACACGGGGACATGGGGACATGAGGGACATGGGGACACGGGGACACGGGGACACGGGGACACGGGGACACGGGGACATGAGGACACGGGGGACACGGGGGCCATGGCACAGCATGTGGACATGGGGACACAGCACACAGGACACGGCAGGGGACAGGACACGGCACAGGGGACACGGGGCACGGCACAGCGCGACACAGGGCGTGACACGAGTGGCAGCGCAGCGTGGCACGAGGCACCGCGGCGTGTCACACGGTGTCACACGGGGCACAGCACGACACGGGGCGCAGCACGACGCGGGGCACAGTGTGACACACGCGGGGCACAGTGTGACACGGAGCACGACACAGCGACAGGCACGTGGCATCTCCCAGCATGGTGGCACCCCACGGTGTCACCCCACTGCGTCCCCCCCGCTGTCCCCTACGGCGTCACTCCCCTGCGTCCCCCCCCCCGCGCTGTC